TTTAAATGTTCCTTCAGTGGGTGGGCATCAGCTGAGTTTGGTTCAGTTTTCCTTTCTGCTCTAACAGGACAGCACTGTGTTCAATGTCTCACAATTACTGTGTTCTGCCTCCCCCAGTGCTCAGAGATGTTCTCTGTACCATGTTGCCATTGCTGCAGGAAGGGGGCATCAGCAATTCCAGACTGTTTTTTTCTATCCCTTCAGTGCATCTGTCAGTCATATGAAGTAAAACCAGGGACTGTAAGTGCTTTGCTGATGTTTGGTTCATATGAACGTGTTATTTTTTTTTTCTGGGTAGATGGTTGTTAACTTGGTGGCCTTGATTGGCTGAGGTGCAGGGAACCTATCAATGGAGCTTTCTATTCCACTATCTTGCTCCACCTCCTCAGACCTATTTTTCCAAGCAATGCTTTTTAGATCCAGCTTAATATCCCTTTCTCTACACAGCCTTCTGTGGCTTCCCCTTCTTACCTCTTCTCACATTGCATATTGGTTTTAAACCCTTATTTTATTCACCTTCCTATCATAGATTTTATGTCTCTATTTTATCACTCCTTTTAGGCTCTGAGACACTAGAAAGATAGATACATACTTATTTCCAAGTAACTTTGGTCTCCTGTCCCTAGTAGAAACCAGGTCTTAGTTTACAATATTTCCTCTCCAGATCTCCAGCACCGTCAAGAAAGCAGACACCATTAGATAGAGATTTTCTCAATAATTTGACTCCCACCACCTCCAGTCCTATCAAGGGCTTCATCATCTTTTCCTTTTGTCTGGAAGAATAGGCATGCCTACTACTTTCTGAAGTGAACCCTCAAAAAAACTGTTTGAACTTCTTGATGAGTGAATAAATGAATTCATTGGAATAGCCTGGGTCATTCTATGATAAAAACAAAAACAAATCCCAGTGGCTTAACACATTGAAAGTTTGTTTTTCGATCATGCTACCTGCAAAATATTGCTCAGCAGGGGCTTCTACTCCTGGCCATTCCAGGCCCCAGGGTGATAGAGACATCATCTCAATATGTGCTTCCCAGATCGCTGTGGCAATGGGAGGAGAACATAGTCAGTTATACCCTGTTCTGAAAGCTTCCACCTAGAAGTGACACACCCACACACACTACTTCCATTATACCTCAGTTCCACTTGTATTACATTGACCAAAGCAAATCACATGGCCATGCCTAATTTAAAGGGAAGCACAGAAGTATGATCTGTCATTTACCTGAAAAAAAGACAAGAATTGAAATATTTGTGAACATTGCTAATGGTAACAAAAATATATGTATACAATATATTGCAAAGAGACTTTTATAGCATTACTTTTAGTTATCTTCCCTAATTCTCTCCTGGTTAAATGTTACACATTATTTTTCTTTCCTTGGCTCATTAAGATGATGCATACATTTGAAAAAAATTGAAGTCACCTGTGTCACTGTGTGGATGCAAGAATGTTTGGTACAGCCTGGCTCTTGTTTCGATATGGAGTCCAGATGGTTTCTCAGATTTAAGACTCTGAGAGAGTAGGCGGAAGCCAAGTTTGGGAAGTGTCAGACTCAGTTATTTAAGAGGACACTTAATTACACTTAACAATTTGCAATTTAGTGCCTGATGTTCCATGCAGATAACATCTGCATTCTTATAAAAGATATATCAGAAACAATACCCCAAATGATACTTTTTGGAAAGAGATTTTAAAGATCCTCCAGGTAGCTAAAAGGTAACGCTTTGTTGTGGCAAACATTTAGGTTCAGTCCCTGACTCCATCCTGACTTGAGGTTCCATGATTGATACTGTCACTTAACCTCTTCCACATCATTTGTCTGCCTGCAAGAAGGAAATAAAGCTCTCCAGGATTTCAAAGCGCTTCGGGATTTCAAAAGAAAAGCCTAGGTGGTAAGTGTAACAATGGAAAAGAGAGCCCTTGAAGATGGTGAGCGTCAGCTGATGTATATTAGCAGGATCTTGAAAATGTATGCCTTTTGAAAGTGTGCATGAGATAGAGAAAGCATCTATTTGGAATCAGAAAGATGTCACTTTTCAGAAGATTCAGCAACTTTTAAAATGTCCTTTAACTCAGTATGCATTTTTCGCATTTAAAACTAGTTTATTTTTATTTAAAAAATTTAATTGCATATATTTAAGTTATACAACATGATGTTTCAGTATGCAATGTGCTAGACAGAAAGAACATACTTCAGGATCTCACTTACACGTGGAATCTTAAACAAAATCAATGAATCACTGTTTTAACCCAGAATGTTTGCCATAGTGTGTGCATCTATGTCAAACATTCTGGGTTAAAACATGGTACTTTCATCTCTTTCACTTATAATAATAACGTACAGTGACATTGAGTTTCTCACCTCTTTTAGAGTTAATCATAGTTAGCTATATTGTTCTCTGAGTCAATACAACACTTGGCTCTCAAAATAGATAATAACATCTCCCAGAATAACATATATTTTAATAGAGGTAACTTACCATGGCTTTATCTCCTAACAATTCAGAATTGGGACTCAAATAGTGTCTACTTTGCTATGCGTAATTAATGCATAATCGTATATTTAAGTTAAAGTTATGAATGTGAACTGTCACGATGTCACAAATTACGGTTCTGCCTATTGAATGATCACCTATGTCAAATACTAATAAAATGTAGACAGAGAGATATATTCACATGATAAATTTAGCAGAAAAGCAGAGAATACTGATAAAACAACCATCATGAGGAGAGGAAGGTTTCTCTTAAAGTTTGAGTTTAAAATGCAATTTTAAATACTTGACTGAAAATAGTTTAAATAGCAAAGGGAACAAGCGCTTGTGTTCAGTGTCTTCATCTGGTGAACTGCAATATCTAACTGCTATCCAGAAAGATCAGATTTTTTGCCCTCGGTCTCATAACTATTAGAGGCAGAAGCAGAACTAGAACTCAGGCCACCATACTATCTCCTGCGTTCAGTTTCACTTTCCAAACAGGATTGCCAAGTTGTAAACTACAATAGCACATTCCCATGAAAGGACTGTAAACCCAGTCCTTTCGACTGTTTTGATGACACAAAGTGCAAGATAGCTGTTGTCTCTACTCTGTTTCCCTTTGAGAAGAGTCCAGGATCAACACTGAGGTTTTCCAAAGGGAGGAGATATACAGTGATATGTCTGAGAGGCAATTTTCCCCCACTCCCACTCAATGGCAAGTATAATCCATTAGACATTGGCAGTAAGAAAAAAGTAGCAATCCATTGAGATAAGAAAGAGGTTATCACCAGTTTGTTTTCGTTTGTCCTTCCTTCATAAAGACATAAAACATACCTTATCTACCTTATTTTTGGAGACAGGGCCTTGCCCTGTTATCCAGGCTAGAATGCAGCAGTGTGATCATAGCTCACCGCAGCCTCCAACTCCATGGCTCAAGTGATCCTCCTGACTTAGCCTCCCAAATAGGACTATAGGTGTATGCCACCCTGCCCAGCTAATTTTTATTTTTATTTTTTGTATAGCCAGAGTTTCTCTAAGTTAGTCTCAAGTGATTCTCCTGCCTTGGCCTCCCAAATAGTTAGGACTACAGGTGTATGCCACCATACCCAGCTAATTAATTTTCATTTTATTTTTTTAATAGCCAGGGCCTCCTTATGCCAGTCTCAAGTGATCTTCCTGCCTTGGCCTCCTAAAACACTGAAATTATAGGTGTGAGGCCACTGTGTCCAGCCCTGATCTACATTTCTTTTAGCTCAATCTGGGACATGGTTTAAATTTAAGCTGTTATTCGTTTGTTTCACTGAATTTTCTGTGAAGGTAGGTTAAAACAACAATTATGCCAATTCAGAGGCATTTCTGGTCCTCAAATATACAAGACTTTGTGAGCTGGAGTTCAACTCTCATTTCTGGCTGCATGTTCCATTGTTATTAATAGAACTCATCATTCTCTGCCATGCCGTTAAGTGATAAGTGGCATTAAATAATATGAAACTTGGAATTCCAATTTATGTTGTTAGCCAACACTTTTGCCTAAACAAATAAAAAAATAATAAAAATCAATGATTATATTCTGATCACACTTAAGGAATTAAAGATCAAATCGAAAGAAAACAAAGAGAAATACCTTGGTATGATTTAACCAAGAGAATAAAACAGAAAACAATGTAATAATGTTTACCAAGCATATGGATGATCCTTGGGGGAAAAGGAAGGTGATCAACACATTGCAAATTTATCAGACACATGTATTTCTTGACAATAATGCTTATTCAGTAGAGAAATGGCTGGGCCGTCTGACGTATACATTTTATCTTCATTTGTTTGGACAACTATTTACTATAAACCAACTTCCTGTTTGGAAAGGATTGGTGATGGCGTCAATAATAAGGATCTTTATTTAGTAAAATTCCAGTGTAAAAGATCATCAGAGCATCAATTATCAAGCTGAATTTCTGGACTTTGGGGTAGTTTTATCTATAGAACAAAGACTTGAAGACAAATATTGGACTATACAGAGGTGAAATGTAAAGAAAGATGTTGGATGCTTGATTATGCTAAGCACTTTCCTTAGCATACCTCATAAATGGAGGGGTGTATTCATCTGTTTCATACTGTTATTTATAAAGGAAAGCAGTTTAACTGACTCACAGTTCAGCATGGCTGGGGAGGTGTCAGGAAATTTACAATCATGGCAGAAGGTGAAGGGGAAGGCAGGAAGAAGTGCTGAGCAAAGTGGGAAGAGTCCATTATAAAACCATCAGATCTCATGAGAACTCACTCACAGTCATGAGAACAGCATGGCGGAAACTGCCCCCATGATTCAATTACCTCCACCTGGTCTCTCTCCCTTGACACTTGGGGATTAAGGGAATTACAATTCGAGATGAGATTTGGGTAGAGACACAAAGCCTAACCATATCAAGAGGGCACCACATCCCCATTTCTCTCTACTAGTTGTCCCATTCAGATATATTAATGAAGTCATGCAGACTTAAAGCCTGTCGTATCATTTCAGAAACATATTTCCACAATCTTTGGAAAGGAGTTGAGAAGAATTAACATTTTCTGAGGACTTGCACTTACCTTACACTCCACTGGGATCCTTCCTACATATCAGATACACACAGCAACCCAAAGAGGTAAGTATTACTGTGATCCTCACTTTCCTTGTGGAAAAGCTAATGTAGAGAGAGGTCACTTAACTTTCCTGAGTTAGTGAGTAAGTAGCAGAGCTGAGATGTAAATGCAAATGTGAAACCTCCAGAGCATGTGTTTTTCTCACTAATCTTTGCTTCCTGTCTTATTATGTTTGCTTGAGAGGAAGTACTTTTAACTAAGGGCAAAAAGGCAGGCATTTAGTTGAACTACCTCTGGTGAGTTTTAAAGAGGATTTCTACATATGGTATTATAATTTTACTGAATTTCTTGGTTAGCATGTTTAATATTCAGCTCCAAGGAACTGACGTATGTTTGCGGATTAATTATTTTTATGGAGTGGTGAATATTTTTAGAATCGAACTGTTTTAATAGCTAAATTCAGGCATGTCCATAGGCACTGATGCACGCACGCGCATGCACACACACACACACACAAACACACAGAGAGAGAGAGAGAAAGAGAGAGAGAGAGAGAAAGAGAGAACAGATCAAGGGACCTAATTTTATTAGGAAGCATCAATATGTATGCTTGGTAAAGTGTATAGACAGAAATTTTCAATTAAGGAAGCAGAATAAAGCAGCAGAACTAAAACTGAATCTAAACCAGCTTGAATGTTTAAGAATCAATGGAGTTAATAATATAGTTAACTGAAGATTGGGGGTAAAAATCCTCTCTCTGTCACTTGGATGGGAAACCTCTCAGCCCCGTTTTTTCTAGTTTTTAGTAAGTGAAATGTTTCAGTTATTTATCTTAAACAATTAATCTTCAATTTATGACTGTTCATCTCTATATACTACATTTAAATAACTGGTTTAAACTCTTGGGCAGCTGCTCAGGTGAATACATGGTTCAGGTTTCCCTTTCACATAAATCCCCCTATATTGTGTTTTACATTGTATGAGTCTGTTTGCATCACTGTAAAGGAATACCTGAGGTTATGCAATTCATAAACAAACGTTGAATTGGCTCATGTTTCTGCAAGTTGTACAGAAAGTGCAGTGCCAGCATTTCTTTTGGTAAGGGCCTCAGGAAGCTTACAATCATGGCAGCAGGTACATCATATGCTGAGAGCAGGAGGAAGAGAGAGAGGAGAGAGGTGCTACATATTTTGACATACCTTTAAACAACCAGATCACCCATAAACCAACTGAGTGGGAACTCAAGTCTCACCCAGGGGATCGAGCCAAACCATCAATTAAGGATTCACCCCCATGATCCAATCAACTTTCACCAGGCCCCACCTCCAACACAGGGAATCACATTTCAACATGAAATTTGGTGAAGGTGAGTATCCAAACCATATCAGACACTAAGTCACACACCAGTGTGCTTACTTGTTTATCATTTATACCCACCTTTGTTTATCATGTAAATTTATTGAGGATAGCCAAAGTGTTTCATTTGTCACTAAGTCACTAAATAACTAAACTGTGGCTTGGCATATAGTAGATGTTCAGTGTTATGAGCTTATTGAATGCAAAATAGCTAGCATTTATTGGTTTTTTTTTTTGGGTTATTTTTTTTTTTTTTTTGAGATGGAGCTTCGCTCTTTTTACCCAGGCTGGAGTGCAATGGTGCAATCTCGGCTCACCACAACCTCCACTTCCTGGGTTCAGGCAATTCTCCTGCCTCAGCGTCCTGAGTAGCTGGGACTACAGGCACGCACCACTGTGCCCAGCTAATTTTTTGTATTTTTAGTAGAGATGGGGTTTCACCTTGTCGACCAGGATGATCTCGATCTCTTGACCTCGTGATCCACCCGCTTCGGCCTCCCAAAGTGCTGGAATTACAGGCGTGAGCCACTGCGCCCGGTCCTGGATGGTTTTTGTATGTAACATTATGCCAGGAACTATCCCATGCAGTTATGAGGTACTTTCTATAATTATTCACATTTTACAGATTAGGACATTATGAGCCATAGAGTTCAAAATGTTTAAGTTCACAGAGCAAGCAGGTAGCAGAGTGGAGATATGACCTATTAATACAATGCTCTAATCTCAAAGCCCTTGACTTTCAATATTATAAATAATGCCTCTGATATTTGAATTTCCGCTTCCAAGGAAAATGGAGACCTGAGACAGTGTAGCAAAGATTGGGCCTGTTGCCACAGGAATCTTGGATAGGGCATAATTTTCCCTGAGGCTAGAGCATAAGAAACCATGGAGATGCTATCTAATAAACATTACCCTGGACAAATGGTGATAGAGATTGGCAGACTGTCCCACTCAGCCATAGTACTGAACGGGGGAGGCAGAGGGTGACTCCGAACACAGGACCATGCCAAGGGAGCTGGTAAAGAGGAAGAAGCTTCCAAACAGAGTTTGAAGCCTCTATTTTGAACTAGATTGTTGAACCAGAAAGAGTATCTGTGGCAGGGTATGTATTGGTAAGGATGCCAATCAGCTTAGACAGCTGAATAAACATCCATCTATCTAGTCTCATTTATTAAACACCATCTCTTGGTCAGTCACTGAAGATACAGAGCTACGTAAGCCATAGATCCTGGAGCAATGGAGAAGGAGATTCAACGTATTTGCACAAACTTTGGTGCAGTGGATGGTCACACCACCCTGCATCCGTGGCTGCCAATTGATAATTGATACTAATAGCAACTTCTCTCATTGAGCATGTAATAGAAGGTCGGCACTGTTCTAAGAGTCTCTCATGTTTTAAAATCAATCATCACAATAACTATTTGAGATGGGTCTGAGTAGCATCCTCAATTTACAGATGAGGAAATGGTGGCATAGAGAAGTTCCCTTATTTGCCTGAGAACACACAGTCAAGGTCAGAGATGGGCTTGAAAACTGGGCAGTGTGACTCCAGTGTTTGAGCTCCTAATTTCAACATGCATTAACTCTGTGCCAATTATTCCCTAAGTTTTCTTTAGTCCAACAATGTTTATTCATTCATCACATTTTTATTGAGAATATACTACATGGCTAGCATTTGGCTGGGTTCTAGGAACGGAGCAGTGAAGAAGATAGGCAAGGCTGTAACACTAATATAAAAGGACTGTTAACTGACCCATGAAAGTAGAGAAGGTAATGACACCCCATCTGCCACTTGCAGGACCCCAACCATGTCCCTTCTCTTTTGGTAAAAGCTGCACATGCTGCCCAGTAAAAGGCAATGCTGAATCAAGAGAAACTCCATCCACTTTCATGACTCAGACTAACTGGTAGGGCTTTGGTTCGAGTTCCTTCTGTGTTGGGATTGGCTAAAGTCTGCATATAATGACACACAATTCAGCCACTGTATAAAATGGGATTCATACTGGAATATTTGACCTCTGGAACCAAAACGTTTGATTTGACAGCAAGCATATTGATGATCTGTGGTTTCACTATTGCCCTTAGACCAAAAAAAAAAAATGGCCTTTCTTGTTTAAACTAAAGATCATCAGTCTGCACCTCCCTAAGACAGTCTGTATCAGAGTCGGCAGAAGACTAGAAGGTGCGTTTTAAAATGAAAACACATGTCTAGTTGAATTTATATTTTGCTACATTATTATAATAAATACTTAACATTGAGCAGTTTCATAACATAAAAGCTGAGCTGATTAAAACATTTAGAGAATAAAGTAAATGGGTGTTCAAAATGTTCTTGCTTTCAGGTTCAATGATGAATAATGGAAAATTCAATTTTTAAGGGTGACAATAGGAAGGAAGGAAACACTATGTTTTGAAGAACAGATCTCAGTTGGACCATTCCACAGTGGAATGAATACAGGCTATTATCTAAAAAAATGTGTTTTACTTATCTGAGAATCGGTCTCTATATTGCACCTCTCTGTACTTTGACTCATCTTAATCCCCATCCTGACTCTTTTATTCTAGTTTTAATATCAATTTTGTTTTATTGGCTTTGGTCTTAAGAACCACAAATGCTAGAAATCAGTATCATATTTTGGATTAGCCAAAGTGAGTCACCTTTGAATTCCAATGCACAGATTTTGACATGGAGCTCAGGAGAGGGGTCCTGGGAAATTTTATATTATCCATTCAACACACATTTATGACAGGCCAGGCGTTGTGCTCTGTGGGTTGGGATACAAAGTTCAATAATATGGAATCTCTGGCTCAACAAGCTTGCAGTCTAATGGGGAAGTAAGGCACAGCGAGATTACTGTAAAATGGGGTGAATCCTACGAGATATCTGGACCTGGGTTAATTCCAGCAGGAGTGTTCATCTGTGGCTGAGAGTCCCAGATGAGGACCATCACAAAACCATCCAGATGGGAGCCATAGGTTAAAGCAGTGGTAGTCAAGGGGACCAGCTTTTGCAAAAGCCAGATCAGTACAAAGGCTCTGTTCTAGGAAGTAAAAGCTATGAGGCCTTGGGCAAGGAATTAAACTTTCGAAGCATCTATTTCTGGAACTGCTGAAGACTTATGCAAAGGAAGGATATATTCATATATCTGCTTTAGGGAGATTTCTTGAGCATCTGCGTGGCGGGTAGAGGGTTGGAGAAGGCAAGCCTGGAGGCAGGAACAGAGAGGAGAGACCGGAGCTCTGTTGAGGAAATCAATGCCTCCAAATGCAGGCTCTTTTATATGCATTGCCCAGCATCTGGCAATGCTGGTGCTGACAATGATTCACCATATACAGTACTTACTTCAGGTTTGGCAACAGTCCAGGGACAAGCGAGGAAATCTATTCCTCCTCTCTGCTCAGCACACAGGGCCCATTCAGTATCATTCCTTTAGACTACGGCTGGGCTTCTTGCCCTCCAATCCCCGGGCTCCACCAGCCCTTGGGAAATGACAAGTCCTGGGAATCAGAGAGACAGTGCCCTTCCTCATCACGCTCAGCTGCCCTACTGTCTAGGAGATCATGAATTGTCCTGGAGGCAGCGCTGCTTTTAGTGCATTTGCTAGGAGGGTCTCCTGGATGTAAACTCTGTCTGGCCCTAGCCCCCCAACAGGATGTGGGCAGCCTGCATCTCCGCTGGACTGGAGCCAAGATGCCAAAGCACAGC